AATTTGTGATAGTATTACTTTGAAATATTAAACACATTTGTTGTTCCTAGTAAGAGATCAAAAGTTTTATCTCAATAAGAAGTATTAAAGAGGGAAGAGGGTAATAAGCAACATTTGCAAGACATGGAACCAGTCACATTTCTCACCTGAGGGATAGCTCAGGCATGAAATTCTTAATCTCAGGGTCATCAGTTAAAGCCCCACATTGGATGAAAGATTCCTGTATTTCAGGGGGTTGGATTATATTACCCTCATTATCTCTTCCGGTGCTACGATTCTATAGTACAGTGGAACCTCGAGTTGCGGACATAATCCATCCTGGAGGCACGTCCGCAACTCGAAGCGTTTGCATCCAGAAGCGCCACGTCTGCGCACGATTTAGCGCTTCTGTGCATGCGCGACTGGTGAAACCCGGAAGTAACCCTTCTGGTACTTCCAGGTTGCCGCGGGACACAACTTGAAAAGACGTAAGATGAAGCTGAAACATGAGGTATGAGGTCTTAACCTGTCAAGCTGGAATATTTTATGATCCCCCTTTGCCAACAGTATGTTCTGCACTGTAGGAAACGGTGCTCATAGAACATGTCTGAAAGGAAAGAAGTAGCAAATTAAGAAAATCCCTTTCATTATTCTGCATTCTAGTCCTTGTCCATTTTAATGCATATAAGCAGGTATATAGCAAAGTTATCTTAACAAGTACTGGTATTTTTCAAGCCTCTTTGTTGTTGTTGTTGTTTTAAAAAAAACCTTCACATGTATTTAGAAAATTTTAGCGTTTATATTTTATACTAACAGAAAATGTAATAAAAATTATTTTAAAAGTTTAAAACTCATTTTTAAATAAAGTTCACTAGATTTTTCCATTAACACAACATACATTTTAATATTTAAAAATGCATATTAGGCACGCTGAACATTTTAAAGCAGAGGTTTTCAAACTTTTTGAATCCACTGTTCTCTTGACCAACTACATTCTTTCTGAGGCTCCCCTGTGGGGAAACGTGCTCCAAGCCTCAGGATCCCAGTTACGTCCCCCCTTGCCTGCAGAACAAGCAACCCCTCACCCTTTTCAAACATCCTCTCTTGTGGGGTGTTCCCTCAGCCTCCTCTCCTCTCCCCTCTCCGTCGCCACCCTCTGCCCAACCCAAAGAGAGGGGCCTCCTCACACAGGCCTGGGAAGAGGATGTCCCAAGCCTCAGAGGCCCAATGGAGACCAGTACCTTACTCACTTTGGGAGGGAGAAGTGGCGGCAGCAGGCACTGCTGGGTCTGTGTGGCAAAAAGGCTCCCCTTTGGTCCCAGGCACTCAGCTCCCAAGCAGGCCTTGCACACAGCAAGCACAAGAAAGGCCAGCATGGCCCCTTCCTTCCTTCCTTCCTGGCCCAGCAGCGGAGCAAGCTGATCAGGCGCCCGGGGCGGCTCACGTGCCCTGCGCCCAGGGGCGGGGCCAGCCACCTGCAGGGGGGGCAGCTGCCCGTGGGGCGGGGCAGACGGACACTCCGCGGGGCCTCCTGCATTGCAGGGGGCTGCATTGCATGGTCCCTTCAAACTCTACTGTTAAGTCGTGGGTTGACATAGCAGCCGGCACAGCGATTTCTTCAAGTAGCTCTTTATTATGGTAAGCTGGAATACAACTGACTGCGACAGCTCAGCCGGCCTGTATTTATAGGCAGCCGGCTGTCAACATTGTAACCACAACAGCCCAGAGTTCCCGCCTAAAATAACTGGCGCGGACCTGAGTGAAAACTATCTACAGACCTGAGTGAAAACTATATACAGTATCCCCCTGTTGGCCCAGGGTGAAACTACACTACATAACACCCCTCCCCACCGAGATAAGGCGTTAGTTACAATCGTAATGGTTTCCTTATATACAGCACTACGCGTAATGGTTCCATTAAGCACAAAAGCATATCGGTTACATTTCCCATACTTAGACCAACAGTGATACCTGTCCAACAACATAGTCCTTTAAATAAGTTGGGCGCTTGGAAACTCTGCCAGACCGCCGGGAACTGGTAGCCAAGTCCGGAGGGCCACACAGTTCTCGCTGAGGCTGTGGTGCGACCCTAGGTGGCGTTGGAACCAACTCCCCTGGATCCGCTGCTGTGGGTGGAGCCTCCGCAGCCAGACATTCCGGTTGGCCCTTGGACTTCTGTTGGAACTTCCTGCGCTCCCGCTTTGTCTGGTGCACGTCATCGTCTTCACTGGAGGATGCCTCATCACTGCTGGCCTCTTCATGATGCACTGGAACTGGCTCCCTAGGAAGACGCGGGCTGCTGGACTTGCGGATCTCCTGGGCGGAGCGTTCAGCAGCTTCTGAGGCCACAGCCTCCTCAATGGCTTTCTGTAGCGTGAGGTCTGGCTTGGCTAGGAGGCGCCGTTGCAGATGGATGTCCCGGACCCCGCAGACGATTCGATCCATCAGGGCATCGTCTAAGTCTCGGAACTCACAGTGCATTGCAGCCTGTCGCAGGGCGGTGGTGTAGTTGTTGATTGACTCCCCCTCTGCCTGGTTCCGGTGGTAGAACGCATGGCGGGCAGCAATCTTGGACGGCTTTGGTGCGTAGTGGTTGCGGAGCTTCTCTTTGATCGTGTCCCATGGTGTTGCCTGGACTGCTTCAGGCGCAACCAACGCTCGGGCCGTCTCAAACACCTCAGGCCCACAGAGGCTGAGGAATAGGCCCCGCTTCCGATCCTTTGATACTGCTGTCAGCTCGTTGGCTTGGAGGTAGCAGTCGAACCGAGCGAGGTAGGAGTCCCACGATTCAGAGGCTGGCGCAAACGGCGGTAGAGGCACAAGTGAAGCCATGATTCTGATGCCGGCGTGAAGGGCGATGGATGGAACACAGTGCTCTAGCCAGAACAGTCAGCTCTGAATTGGTTCTGCCCAGTGATTTCGCTCAGTGATTTCGCTCTGTGATTCAGCTCAGTGATTCAGCTCAGTTCAGAGGCTGGCCGCATCTGGCTGTGCTCTGATGTCCATCTATCCCACCTTCGTCGCCAGTGTTAAGTCGTGGGTTGACATAGCAGCCGGCACAGTGATTTCTTCAAGTAGCTCTTTATTATGGTAAGCTGGAATACAACTGACTGCGACAGCTCAGCCGGCCTGTATTTATAGGCAGCCGGCTGTCAACATTGTAACCACAACAGCCCAGAGTTCCCGCCTAAAATAACTGCCGCGGACCTGAGTGAAAACTATCTACAGACCTGAGTGAAAACTATATACAGTATCCCCCTGTTGGCCCAGGGTGAAACTACACTACATAACATCTACAATTCTGACTCGCAGTGCCAATCTGCACTAATCCAGATTTACACAATGAATAAATCATATCTTTGGTTTTTAAAATGAAAGATTGTTAACAGTTTGCATTCTGCATTCTCTCATGATATTTTCTGTTAAAAAAAACTGTTGCTCAATTATCCTGTTTCTGCAAAATGTATGGCATGTGATAGACTATACATACTTTTGGCATTTGGATCTAAAGTTCAAGCAACTGGGTGGGTGAGTGGGTCTGGGCAGATAGAGATATACACTTAACACTTAATGGGATGTTTCCCTTTGTCACCCACTGGTGCAGACCAGCATGTTCTGATGTATTTATCAGTAGAAATTGCAGAGGTTACACAATGGGCAATCTAATGAGCAATTTTTTACCACTTTCAAACTCTATTAAAACAACAACTGTGATTCACACCACTGGGAAGTCAGGGGAAGTCTTGGGAAGTGATAGAACATCGTTAATTGTGTTTCTGAAGTGAGAGATTCAGTGGGTTAAAAAAGAAGAGAAACAATTCTCAGTCTGAAAAATATTAACAAGCACAACCATTCTCTTCACCACAGAAAACAACTGGGGTCACATAAGGTCCCTTGGCTGGCGCCCCACAAGTAGCATTATCACCGGCCTCTTGCTGTGAAACCAACCCCCTCTAGTGGTTTTCTCACATCTCAGCTTTAGCACACAAACTGTGAAGTGTTTGTGTTGTTGTTCTAAATCAAACTAGGTCTATGAAGGTTTTGAAAAGTCCTACACCCTGATTCAGAAGCCTCTCTTGTATTAGAATGGGATAGCAACCGACTAGCACTCATAGAAATTCAGTATTTAGGATTATAGAAACACTGTAATTTTGAAGACTCTTTCCAGTCCTGAATTTTGTTTCCCTCAGACCAAGGCTATAAAGCACTATAATTGCCAGGCATGAGTGGCTTTGGCACAACCACTTAGTCCTCATCCTCTGCTGAAACTATGCCTAGTAATCAATAATCAATTGGATTTCTATTATTTCCTGCTCACCCTCCCCTCCCTCTTCCATCTCTCCCTCTCTTATCTCCCCTGTGTTGGACTTCATAGTCTCTTGAGACAGATGGATGCCAAGAAACAACAACGACAACAATGTGATTATTTTAATACTTAGCATTTCAGGGAGTCCTGCCCCCCTCCCCCGCAGCAGCAAAAGGAATCCTTGACTGTTGCAAGGATCCTCCCACTCCTGAATCTTTGATTCCTAGAATAGACTTAGTGGCCACACTAAGCCAGAGACAGTTAAGTCCAGTCGCAAACGACTCTGGGGTTGTGGCGCTCATCTTGCTTTTCCGGCTGAGGGAGCAGACGTTTGTCCACAGACAGTTTTTCCAGGTCATGTGGCCAGCATGACTAAGCCGCTTCTGGCGAACCAAAGCAGCGCACGGAAATGCCATTTACCTTCACACCAGAATGGTACCTATTTATCTACTTGCACTTTGAAATGCTTTCAAACTGTTGGAGAGCAAGAGCAGGGACCGAGCAACGGGAGCTCACCCTGTCACGAGGATTCAAACCTCTGACCTTCCGATCAGCAAGCCCTAGGTTTAGTGGTTTAGACCACAGCACCACCCGTGTCCCTATATACACCCGCATCTTTATGCATTACATTACTATAAATACAGCATGAAATACCACAGCTAATATTGTACAACAAAAATATTTTTGCTCTTTAGATCAAAGAGAACAGACATACCTCTTCCACAAAGCTTTCCTTCTTGTCAAGCATTTCTTGTAATGTCTGGAGAATTTTAATACAGAGTTTTTCTTCCTTCTCCATTAGCCTTTTTGTATGATTTATCAGCCTTAAAGTAAAACATGAGACAAAATATCACACCAAATGGGTTTAGTCTCATTCTGATGATTTTCTAATCACTTGGATACTTTTCATTATATTGGCAAAAACTAATGAGGTTCCCAAACTTGCCCCCCCCCAAAGAACCACATGAAAATTGCTAAAGGTCTTAGCAGGTTTTTGATTTTTCTGCCAATTACAGCAATTTTAATGAACCGTGCTAGAAAACTGCAATTTTTCTTGTAGTTCTATTGCTTTTCATATCTTATATATTTTACCTCAATGTATTACAATTTGAAATCCATAGAATGAAATACAATATAAGAAATGTAAAAAGCAATAAAATACAGTTAAATATCAGTCTATTTAATGCAATGGATGTGCCACCCCCCATCTTCAACCATAACTCAGCTGTGGACCACCTGAGTGAAGTTGTGGTCCATGGATCACAGTTTGGCCTGGCCTGAACAGATGTTAGCTAACTTTTCCAGAAGAATGGGTAGCTCACTGGGAGCTCAGCACCACCCCATTACTAGACAAATCTATTTGGGAAACAACTAGGTCCAAGTCCGCCTTTGAAGGCAAAAGCCATACCCACCAATGGAGAAGGGAACAGACTACCTGTTTATCTTGTTTTCTAGTTTTTCTTAAAAAAGAAAAAAAAACTTGAATGGTAGCTATAATGGTTCTAGGGGTTGCTCGTGCGTAAGCCTGTGCCAACACCTTGCTGGGTTGCCTGAGTGAACCTTTCCTGTCTGGACAGCCACTCACCCGTGGCTGTCTCAATCGCTGGCAGAATCAGTCAGTGGGCGTTTCTTAAACTTCTTCCAGCAAAGATGTTCTTTGATGCCCAGTCTCCTCCTACTCTCCCTGCGCGGAAGCCTTCTGCGCAAGGAGGGCGTAGGCAGCGGAGGACCCTTCCTCTCCCCGCTGGTCCCCGGCAATGAGTCATGTGACCGCCTCTCTGATTCCCCCATCTGCCCCCCTTCTCCACTGGAGCTAAGCTGATTCCCTTCCCCAGAAGATGGGCTGCCTCTCCCAATCTCGGGACGCTCTCTGGGATCCCTCTGGAGCTTGCTCTCTCCCTCCGGCACTGATGGCAGTTCCCTGACAGTAGCCATAAAGAAGGGCAGGGGATCACCATGCAAGCGGGGGGGAGATTAACCTGCCCAACCTGCCCAGTAAAAATGCACCCCCCCAAAGCTCCTATTTGCCCCTTGAGGAAGGCTGCCATTGATTTATTGGCATAATCATCAACCTTTGTGTAAATGCTACCACCTCGGCTTTGCAAAATATGCCAGTTATTATAGAAACAGAAAAATTGCCAAATTTGTTTGCTTCTCCAAGTTTGCTCTATTTAACATTTGCAGATTTCTGAAGGACATCAAGGGCATGGGAAATCCAAGACGCCAATATTAAAGGCACTCACCCAGACTGCAATTAAACACTTTAACAAGTCAAGGCCAAGTATAGATAGTGGAAGACTGAATACACTACAAGTTGGAGTTTAACAATATATAATAAAAATCAAGGAAGATATTGGTTTTGTCTCAGTCCCTAGATCAAATGCTTTAACAAAAGGAATTAAATGCATATTAAGTTTCACTGCAATATATTTAAATTTAAATGCTCATGACATTTTGTAATCCTTGTATATCTATTGGGGGGAATCTACTTGATTTTAGAAAGCTTGTGTGCTATTAAAAGGTTGTGCAGCAATCCAGCACACATTGCTTTGTCTTTCTATTCATTTCAGCTATTTACAGGGCTCTTTCCCTAACAGTTTTCAATTATTGTTGTTGTTGTTGTTGTTGTTTTATATGTACCCCGGCCCATCTGACTGTCTTGTCCCAGCCACTCTGGGTGACTTCCAACATATATAAAAACATAATTAAACATTACACATTAAAAGTTTTCCCTATACAGGGAAAATCTCACCAAACTAAATGTATTTTGGATCGCTTGCACACCATTAACTGGGAAAATTGGTGCTCTGGTGCCTGCCTCATCCCCTACTACTCTGAGTATTTTCTATTAATATATGACATCCTATGTATCTTTGATATAAGAGAAACAAAGTGTCTTTCACTATGATGAATAAGGCAAAAGAATAAACCACAATGGGTAAAACCAAGAACAAACCTTGGCTTCAATAGCTTCAGGCACTTACTTGGACATGAAAGCCCCACATCTGATTCTAGCATCACTTCCCTCAGGGAAAAGAAGTTCAGGGCTGTGCAATACATCAACCAACACCGAAAATTCAGCCTGCATCATGGGGTTGAACTGCTGTTCCAAGGAGGCTACAACATCCTAAAAAATAAAACACCAAGAGGAAAGTGTCCAGTTTGGTTGGAACTGGCCATCTGTTTAATGTCTGCTGCTAGTTTTCCAATCATGAAGTAGAACGAGTCCTCATTTTTCAACATTTTCCCCAACCTGTGATGTGGACTGGGATGACCAGATGAAAATAGTAGTCATATACCAGAAACACATAACACTCAGGCAACATATTAATTTCATCCAGACACTCATACATATATCGCTGCTATATTTATAACATGATGTTTTCACTAGAAGCCTCTATGCAAGAACATAACAAATTGGATCTAAATGGTTCCCTAATCTGACAAAAAGAGTCTTCTCTGGACAGAATGGCTCCTTCTGTTGGAGGAAGTAAACCAACTAATCATTAGTGTGTAGTAACAGCTATGTAAGCATTTATTTTCAAAAGACAGAATGTTTACTGTGCTGCCACAACATTATGCTAACATCAGATATGCCAGCACACATTTTGGATGAAAGCATCATTCAGGAGGAAAGAAGACAAACTTCTGTCATTGACCTGAGAGAGTGAGAAACCACCATAAGTGGGACAGGAGTTCAGTGTGGACGGATGGAGAACAATTCTACCCTACCACTTCTCTGTCTCTGATATCCTTCACTACTTACCTAGGGTTAGTGGGCACCACTATGGACCCATATATGCTCATATTCCAATTGGTGGCCTAAAACGCATCCATCTGTGATTTACCCGCCCATCTTGTCAACTGAGAAAGGGGAGGGCCTATGATTCAAAACATAATCACTGAGCCTTACATGTTAGAGTAAAAGGGGTTGAATTCAAATTGCGTCGAAACAAGGGCTGCCTCCTTCGTTTCACAATGGAAGAGCACTGAGTCCATCAGCTTTGTAGGTTTTTGTTTTTTTTAATGTAGCAGGAAAACTTGTAGCAAGAGATATAAGTGTGACTAAACCTGCTGTGCCACAGAACACCATGAGTCTCTTCAATATACATAATAAATAGTTGCATTTTCCAATAGAAAAGTCTTGAGTTCCCCAACACTCTAGGCAGTCCATAAAAAGTCAATGGGGGTGCAAATTGGCTGCTTAGTTTGTTGAGAAGTTTTAAGATTCGAATTTGGAAACTCTTGTGGATTTTGTGGCATGCTGGTCCTAAGCATTGTGTTCTCCAGCACCTCATATACAATTTTTAAAAAACCAATAATATACAGACTGTAAACATGTGCCATTTTCTACCACACCTGTAGTTTCTCAATGATATTCCTGTAATCCCAAGCAGGTCCTCCAAGTGCTTCTTTAAAGCGAGGTCCGCTGCGGGCAGACATTCTCCAACCCATCACTGCTCTCTGCACCATATTAGAATGACTCTTCATGAAAAGTGTATTAACTTGGCTGTCCAAATCCACAGGGATTGCAATTCCACGGTTCTTTGCTTTGGAAGAATGCATTTGGAATAGAAAAATCTTAGTACAGATGCAAACATAATAATCCAAGTAAAAGGATGGGAAGTAGACATGGCATATAAGAAGGGAATGTTGCTGAAAATGGAAACTTTGGAGACAGAAAAAGACTAGGCTTGCAAACAGACTAAACTTCTAAGGGGGGTGGGAAACCCACCACTGCCTAGGATTCTCCATGGGTATAGAGTGACATCACTCTGTATGCTGGCACCTCTCTAAAAAAAGCTATATATTCTACACCACCTTTTTCTGCCTCCATGTTTTGTGCCCTCTTTCTCTTCCTCTCCATGTTTTGCATTTCTTTGTCCCCACTTTACCACTGGTAGGAGCACGGAAACAATCTGAGTGAGGCAGCCAAAATATTATGGCAAAAGAGGGGAGAACTTAACACAAGGCTGCTGTATTTGGCAATAGCCATATCAAGAGTTCATGTCTAGTTCCACCCTATTGTTATAAGCATTCTAAGGTCCTAAATATAAAAGAAACATTCATAAACGTACAAGGCAAACACATACATAAGTATATAAACCACGTTTCTGAAATAGTACAGGAGAGAAATCCTGAAGTCATTTTGACTCTCCCAAACTGACCTCAATATATTTCTCTGCAAGGAGGGAGGAAATGGGGAAAGCCTTCCCTTTGTCTTTTTGCTTACAAATCCTGTCTTAAGGGCGTGTTTGTGTATGAATAGAGCGAGCCTGTGACCTGGATTCAGGAACTAAAAGTATTTACCATCACAAAAGAATGGCCAGGCTGCCCAGGTAAAGCAATCAGTGACCATTAACAGATATCCTGGGAGGCAGGATTTATGCTGTAGACCACCTCTATCTGCAATGTATGTATGATATTTCAGGGGCTATAGGGTGGGCAACTTCAAAAGTCTATATAAGGGCTTGCACACCATTGTTCTGGGTTCTATCCTCCCTCCTGTGGGGAGCCTGTTGCAACAGTCAATAAAGATCAGGCTAACTAACTGCTTTGCTTCTCAATATTTTCTGGTTGGCTTCTGTTATTTTCTCCTACCGATAGGGAACCCACTTAAGGACTCTATACGGGCTCCTGGATACCTCATAAGGGAAAAGGAGCAGGCTTTTTTTCTATAACACAATGAAGAGGAAAAAAGAACTGCACCAGAGGAGGCAGTATTGCAAGTTTGATTAATGTCCTATGAGAGTTACAAAAAAATAGGGTATTAGCTAAAGGCACAGAATCTCAGGGAAGCTGTTTTTTAGAACAAAAACAGGGATGTTTGGGGGAATTTTGGAATAGAGAAGTGGCGGCCTTTGCCTTTTCTGAAATAGTTTGCATTTAATAATTTGCATTTAATCTCTAAGGCCTATGTCCTGGGAGACAAGGTAAAAATTTCATTTAGCCATAATAATAAGAGTAATTTATTATTTATACCCCGCCCATCTGGCTGGGTTTCCCCAGCCACTCTGGGCGGCTCCCAACAGAATAAAACATCAAACATTAAAAACTTCCCTTAAAAAGGTGTCCTAAAAGTCAGATAGTTGTTTATTCCCTTGACATGATGGGAGGGTGTTCCACAGGGCAGGCGCCACTACTGAGAAGGTCCTCTGCCTGGTTCCCTGTAACCTCACCTCTCACAGTGAGGGAACCGCCAGAAGGCTGTCATTGCTGGACCTCATTGCTGAACGATGGGGGTGGAGACGCTTCTTCAGGTATACTGGGCCAAGGCCATTTAGGGCTTTAAAGGTCAGCGCCAGCACTTTGAATTCTGCTCGGAAATGTACTGGGAGCCAATGTAGCTCTTTCAGTAGACCATTCCCAGTCACCAGTCTAGCTGCCACATTTTGGATTAGTTGAAGTTTCCGGGTCATTTAAAGGTAGCCCCACACAGAGCACATTGCAGTAGTCCAAGCGGGAGGTAACTAAACTATGCACCACTCTGGTGAGACATTCTGCAGACAGGTAGGGTCTCAGCCTGCGTACCAGATGGAGCTGGTAGGCAGTTGCCCTGGACACAGAATTGACCTGCGCCTCCAAAATGACTCCCAGGCTGTGCACCTGGTCCTTCAGGGACACAGTTACCCCATTCACCTGCCCGCCCCCTGTCCCCCCAAAAAGAGTACTTCTGTCTTGTCAGGATTCAACCTCAATTTGTTAGCTGCCATCCATCCTCCAACCACCTCCAGGCACTCATACAGGAACTTCACCGCCTTCACTGGTTCTGATTTAAAAGAGAGGTAAAGCTGGGTATCATCCACATGTTGATGGACACCCAGCCCAAACCCCCTGATGATCTCTCCCAGCAGCTTCATATAGATGGTAAAAAGCATGGGGGAGAAGACGGAACCCTGAGGCACCCCACAAGTGGGAGCCCAGGGGTCCAAACACTCATCTTCCCACACCACTTTCTGGACAGGACCCGGGAGGAAGGAGCGGAACCACTATACTTCTTTAGATGGTCCAGAAGGATGTTGTGGTCAATGGTATCAAAGGCTGCTGAAAGATCCAGCAGAACTAGGAAACAGTTTTCACCTTTGTCCCTAGCCTACCAGAAATCATTGACCAGTGGGACCAAGGCAGTTTCATCCCATGATGAGGCCTGAATCTCGATTAGAAGGGATCCAAATGGCCCGCATCCTTCAGGCGTGCCTGGAGTTGTTCCGCAACCACCCGCTCAATCACCTTGCCCAAGAATAGAAGATTTGAGACTGGGTGATAGTTGGCCATATCGGCCGGGTCCAAATATGTTTATTTAAGGAGTGGTTTAATAACTGCCTCTTTCAGTGGGTCTGGGAAGCCTCCCTCACAGAGGGAAGCATTCACCACTTTGCAGAGCCCATCGCCCAGCCCTTCCCAGCTTGCTTTTATTTGCCAAGATGGGCAAGGATCAAGGAGACAGGTGGGCGGTTTCACTCGTCCAAGCAGCCTGCCCACATCCTCGGAGGTAACATATTGAAATTGATCCCATGCAACTTAAGCCGCCCTGGCCCTGCTCTCACGGTAGAATCTATCTCTTTCTGAACCTGAGCTACTTTATCTGCAAAAATCTTGGGGTCCTTACCACGCCCCAATGGTGCAGGTGATTCCATTAAATTACAAACCACCTGAAAAAGTCTCCTGCTGCTGTTTTCTGCAGATCCAATAGAGGCAGTGAAGAAGGTCCTCTTCGCCATTGCTATCACCACTTGGTAGGCTCAACATTGAGCTTTAACCCGTGTCTGGTCAGATTCAGAGTGAGTTTTCCCCCACCGGCATCTAGCCATCCCAGCAATTGTTTCAGCACCCTCAGCTGAGGGGGAAACCATGGGGCAGTCCAGGCTCCATGTACTCGCAGAGGGCACTTTGGAGCCAGAGAGTCAATAGCCCTGGTTAACTCCACATTCCAGCGGGCCACCAGGGAATCAGCTGAAAGGCCATCAGCATGGGATAAAACATCCCCTACCACTCTCTGGAAACCATTTTGATCCATTAAGTGGGGGGGGGGGGTGGACCATCCGAATCGGTTCCACCTCCCTGCAGAGGGGATGGGTCACGGAAAAGTCCAGTTGCACCAGGAAGTGATCTGACCATGGCACTTCTTTTGCTTTGCTTTTACTTAGTGTCAGTGGGTACATCAATAGAGGTGAACACCAGGTCTAAGGTATGTCCACGACTATGAGTTGGGCCAAACTTATTCAGGGACAGCCCCATGGAGACCATGCTTTCCATAAAGTCCCAAGCGGCCCTTGTAAGGTCGTGTCGGCATGGATGTTTAAAACCCCTAGGACAGCTAAACTAGGTGTCTCCAGAAGAACATCCACCACAACCTGAAGCAGCTCGGACAGGGAATCCTTGGTGCAGTGGGGAGGCTGGTACACCAAAAGTAATCCTGTACTGCCCCTATTGCCCAATTTCCAGAACATGCACTCAGAAAACTGGGTCTTCCCAATAGGATGCCTGATGCAAGCTAATGACTTCCTAAAAATCACTGCAACCCCCCCTCCCCACCCATATGACCTGGATTGCTGTGCAGAAGAGAAACCTGGTGGACAAGCAGCAGCAAGGACAGGCCCATCTGCTTCATCCAACTGAGTCTCTGTTACACATGCCAGGTCAAGTCCCCCATCCATGATCAAGTCATGGATGGCAGTGGTCTTGTGAATCATTGACCTGGCATTGCACAGCAGCACCTTCAGGTCATGTGGGTCTCCTTTGCTGATTCCAGTATCCATCCGGTCAAGACCAGACCCCAAAGCAGAGACAGTCTCCAAACAACAACTAAACCTGCCTCCTCGGTAATGAGCGGTCTGGTCTTAGCATAACTTCTTCTCCTGCCTGAGTGGTGCGCTCCCCCACACGCCTCTTCCTCCGCCAGTGGTCACGGCCTCCTTGCATCCCAATGTGAGGTCAAAGCCTATATCTAGGAAATAATAAGACTTAACTTGGGGGTGGGGCACAATGAGAAAGAGAGGGGGGAGTTGAAATGGGTCTGAAAACCATGACTGGTGCTAAGTATGATTTGGCATAATGTCTGAATCAACAACAAAAAAGTTAAAAGCTATTATTTCAAGGGCAGAAGAGGAAATCATGAACATGAATTCTGAAAGGATGGAAAGCAAAAGCAGACAACAAGATGCCTGTTGTGCATCTGTACATTTACATCTGCAAATTTATGTCATGCCTTGAGCTCTAAATAATGATCAGGGTAAGCCATGGTTTCACATTATGTTTGAACTGAGCCTAAGATGTACACCTTCTACAATAGAGTGGCGTTTCCCTCAAGTGCTTCCTACATCTTCTAAGAGAGGCAGTGTGGAGCAGATGATAGGGTCTTGGGTTGACAAGGTCAGGGTTCAAAACAGGACAACAAAAGGGTACATATGTACCAGCAAGGGACCCGACTCTGAATCAAACCCTTCATAAACAGTAACTGCTTTGCACATACTTTCAGTTGTACTTCCCCTTTGTCTATTTTAAAGGACAGTGAGGACCAGGGACTCTTCACACAAAACTCTAAGTCAGG